CATCCATACTTCTTCGTAACTTCTCAGTGAGTGTGTCACACACTTCAAAGACAGCATGAACTATATCCTTTGATGTGACCAATCCAAAATAGAATTAGAACCCACAGAGCGTACTTCTCAAAAAGAGTATACTAACAGAGTAAACGAGGAAATGAATCGACTAACATTGTCAACATCCCAAACCCTGACGGTTTTGTCAAATGAAGATGTTGCAAGGCGAGGCATGCTTGGACTAAAACGGACATCAGTTATCATAGACGAGTGTCCTTCAAGAGTAGCTTTTGCCGTTAGAGAATCTGTGAACCACAAGACAACCTGCAATGCAAAACCATAAAGAGAAAAAGGTCAAACATTCTATATATATAACAAATGATACAGAAATCAATCTTTTTCTTGTTTCTCAAGTCAAACATTCTATATATATAACAAATGATACAGAAATCAATATTTTTCTTGTTTCTAAAGTCAAAGACATAAAGCTGCAGACAATATCAAGGATTCGGTTGACCACTTGAAGTAATATATCGAATATGCCTCCAGACTAATCAACTAACCTTTTTGTCATGGCCACCACTTGCAAGCAATTTCCCGTCAGATGAGAGGTCGCAACAGACAACTTTGCTTGTACTAGCTCGTACAGAATTGAATTCAGCAAATGAGAAGCCTAAAACCAAAGCAAGTCATTGGCCTCAGAATAAATAGATTTTACTTCAGTTTCTGCATTGGCATCTTGTTAGGCTAGTCAAGAAATTAAAGGACAACAAAGCAGCCCCAAACAAAAAAGAATAGAGAAACATGCTCCTAAAATTGTCCGATAAAAAATGATACTTGCATGCAGAGGGAAAAAATATTCTGAACTGCATTTGGAGAAATATAATATGTTATTTGAGTTTTTAAGCAAGTCTCTGAGAAAAGAATTTTCCATTTCACTGCAGTCTAGGATTTAAACTACATCTTCATCCTAATTAATCAATAACAGAAGACATTTTCTAAAGAGACAAAATTGCACTCTATTGCACCTTAGCAATTCTTTAAAAAAAAAAAAAAACATTGACATACATCTGAAAACCATATAGCTAGGATGAAGCCAAAGAAAAAAAATTATGATAAAAAAAATAATAGTGTTTGCTGCACCTTTGTTTACATCCATACAACGACCAACACCATCTCTAAGGTCTGCATCATCATGGGATAAAAAAGACTGAACATTGTCATCAACAGATCCATCGCCAACAAATCGATCCATGTCAGCAGCCTGCAATTCAAGATCCTTATCATCCCACTGCCAAAACAGAATGGCCATGAGTCTTCATGCAAGGAATTTATTATTCCTTCCATCAATGGAAATGTTCAAAAAATATTCCAGTTACCAATTGGTTTGAAGGTGATGTAAGTAGAGATGGGAATCTGGACAAGCCTGCCCCTAAAGGCTTAGGCCTTAAATCTCGGTTACCCAAAATTTAACCTAATGAGACATGGCTCTTACCAATAGGGCTCAGGATCAGGCCTGTAAGCCTTCTTTCTAAGGGGAAAACAATCCAACATTTTAATTCAACAAGCATAAACCACATAATCAAAATAAAAAATAAGCTGAGGCAGAGAGACAATTAAAAAGATTATATGGAGAACTGTAAGAAAACAATTAAAAACCAAATATTAGATTATATGAAGAATTATAAGAAAACAATTATTTGCTCAGCATTTTGGCACAGAGCTTAATCAAAAAGGCAAGCTTACATCCAATGAAACAGAGGACAGTAGGCATCAATAATCACCTTCAATTTGCACAAAATCACACTACGGATCTAATTGAAAGAAGGTGGAAGCAATTGAAAAGCAAGCTTGGAATTTTAAGCAAGACAACAGTAACATTAAGGATTAAGTTTCAGAACCCACACAATTAATCTTAAGATCAAAATCCACCACTACTCAAAAATACCAATTGAACTTAAAGCCATAATAGCACTGCCGAGAGATCACTATTAAACTGGTCCCTCTCATAAACAATTCAAAATACAATGACTGAGAAAAGACGATATAGCGACTTCGTGTGAACGCCAAAACCAAAATCTTCGAAAGACCATAAGTCCAATTCCCAACTCGGACCAACTTGCTTTCCCTTCGTATTTCAGCTACAAACGAAATATAAAGGAGAATCAGAAGAAATATGTCAGAACCCATGAAATTTTACCTTCAAAGCTAACTCCAATCCTCTCGGATTTCTCTCCCTGGTTTGTTCCAGCAAGATTGCTTTATCGCCTCAGCCTATCCCGTAAGTCCTGAAAGAGAGCTCTCTCTCTCTCTCTCTCTCTCTCTCTTTTGACTTTGTGGTAGCAGAATCAGCTTTTACACATGCGAGAGGCGAGAAGGAGAGCAGAATCTGGTCCGTCGGAGAGACGAGATGCGAGACGGTGAGGGAGAGACGAGCAAGGAGAAGCAAGAGGCGATCGCAGGACCAGAGCTACTGGCAGGACGAGAAGAAGACACAGGCTGCTTTCTGTTTCTCCCAGTCTGGTTTTTAAAGCAGTCAGAAACACCCCGCAAGGATCGTATTAAAGAAAACTCTCAATGAGAGAATACAAAAATAGACCAAATAATGCCCAGCAACATCTCGGGAGACCAGCCATTACAGGGAATAGAATCTTCTAATACCTTTATTCAAGTGGGATGGCGTGCTCTACAGTACATAAACAGTCGTCCAGTAAATTACAAAACTTAATCCAATTCTAAACAGTAAGGGTTCAGAAATTTCAATATTCTATCCAATATAGTAGTTTAAATTGAACTAATGTAGTGGCTAAAATATTATACACTGTCGATTATTCGTGCGTTTTCACGAAATGGGATATGGGGGGGTGGGTTTTGATTTTTTTTTTTTTTGACCAAAAGGTAGGTTTTGATTGAGTTTTGCCAATTTCAATTTTATGGTCATCTTCGTGTTGTGAGTTCATGCCACCAGGGGTGAAGTTTCAAAGTCCTGGTTGCTCGGTTTGAGATGTTGCCCGATATGATTTTGCAGTGTGCGGAATATCATCGGAAGGAGTTTTGTCATCATTTTCTTGGGTAGTAAAAAGACTAAATATATATACCAAAACTACCAATAAATAGACTTTCGGATTCAAACACTAAACTAAAATCCAAATTTATCAATTTTAAACTAAAATCCAAATTTTTCAATTCAAATACTAAACACACACACACACACACACACACACACACAAACTACCAATAAATAGACTTTTTTTCAGCTATAAACATGCTAAAAATAAATGAAAATAAAGGGGAATCAATAGTGATCAAATTAAGAAATAAAAAATGCAATTAAAATACCATAACAAATTAGAAGCAACTCTTAATTAAGTTATCATTGAAATGGAAAGTATTAATTTGTTTAAAATGAATAATAAACGATCTCAATAAATGTTGCAAGACTTAAATTTAATAATGAAAAATATAATATTACTTTTAACCATCAACATTTTCCATAGGGTTAATTTGAAAGAAGAAATACCATCATTGTATAGGGTTATCAATAACTTTTTTGGTAATCAAGGTTAGTTATAATTTATTGAAACATAAAATTTACTACAATTGTGAGATATTTTAAATTAATATGCATATATAGTTTCCCTAATTTTTAATTAATATGTACATTTTAAATGTGAAATAATAAAATGCCTTCAAAAAATTTTTTTTAAAAAATCCCATCAATTACCAACAAAAGCAATCATCTATCGAATTTCGTTCAACATCGTCACTGGTAATAACCCAAAATAATCAACAAATTAGAAACCACGAAGACAAACTGAGCACTACTAAACAACCAAACACCACTATTGCATAAACCAAACTCTTATAAAAGACCTAGGTCCTCAAGCAAATTTCAGATACCTTGCGAAATTTTAGGCAATTTTCCCTTTAAATAATGTCAACAAATATGTAGATTTTAATTTTGGAAAAGTTAGATAACAGTTTCTCCTTAAAATAACAATAAATATGTAATATCCTACTCTAAAAGACCAATGTATATCAAATCAATACTACAAGTCGGACACGCCAAAAAATTATATGTAGCTACACTTTGATCAGCATTCACAAATTACAAGGCCTTCCATATGTCACATCAAAATAATTTTAATTTACTCTATAACAAATTGAATATATAGAATCATGAACAAAAAAAAAAAAAACACTGAAAAAACTTTCAATTACATAACTATATTTATTACAAGTCAAATAGAACGTGAAAGATACTTTTTTGAAGTTTAATAAGTCTGGTAAAGAAAGAAAAAAATATTCACTTCTAAAGACAGCCTAACATATTTAGTGATCATTTTAAAAATCTTAAAACTCTGGACTTGCAATAATCATATGATACAAATATATGAAGCCAAATTACCAACAGACAACACATGCCATTGAATAAGAGTAAATTATTGGATAACTTTGTAGCATCTTGTGGTATCAATATACTGATATCATATATATCTGGAGCATTAAAAACAGATCCGTTATATCATGTGAAAAAAAAAAGGTGGCTGTTGAAGATAATGAAATGATATTCCAGAAAAGAACATAAACAAAACATATAAAACTAAGCAGTGAGAGTTTTGGAGTATTTCATCTAATAGTGCACCAAGTCTTATCTGATACAATTAATAAAAGAAATGTTTATCAGCAAAATATATAGAGGAACAATAGGTAAAAAAGGACATTAATAGAGAAGTCATGTGATGAGTAGCAGGAAGAGGTAAGAAAGCAGGGGAAAATATCAAGTGCATAGTTGCCCAGATGCAACTTGAAAATTGCATAAAATTCCAGTTAATCCACGTGCAATTTGAACACAATTAAATAACCACATACATAAAGTGTTAATATATAATAAAACAACCACTAATAATTCTAGTTAATCGGCGCGTAACTTGAAAATTACATTTAATGCTGGAATTCAAACCCATTAGAGACAGTGAAGAAGAAGAAGAATGTGAGAGAAAGTGAAATTGAAACTGAAATTCAGACCCATTATTTTGATTGTGGTCAATTTCTATGCTCTTCGTAGAATAAGTTTGATTGTAGCTAATATGACTAATGCAGCCACAATGCTCAGCAACAACAATTTTCTTTTTAAGTATAAATGTAAAAAGAAATGCATCAAGAAGGGAGTAAAAACTGAGTCAACATCTCTTTCTTTACCATGTTCAACAACAAACCCGTGATGTGAATCTAGGGTTGCTCCACCAAGTTCTCCAAAGAAGTCTGCAGAATAATCTAATTAATTAATTGAACATGCATCAAGAATGAAAATTTTAATAGAGGATATTAGGCTTCTTTTGGCAAATATATATAAATAGCTCTTTTAACTTTCAATATAGGACGAATAAAACCTTCCATAAGCTTGTCAGGCATTGTCTCAAGGCCAAAATCATCAAGTACAGCACCATATTAATTCATTAATGTGTAAGGATACATTTCTCATTCACCCACTTATCAAAATTTTCAGTTTAGAAAGACAAACACAATTAAACATATCCAACTAACATTTACATGGATATGCATGTGCAGATTTAAAATTAAAGGAAGAATAAGATTGCTTATACCACTTCCAAGTGATAGTCAAAATGATTAAGTAACACAGATAACAATAACTCATAGATAGAAGCGAGGCTGGAGCATTTCAAATGTGAAAATGCTTGGAAGAGGCTAAAGCATTCTACTTCTAAAGCTTTGCCCTGTATTATCATTGAATGCTTTCAGAAATGCTAGGACGAAGAAGATTGTAGGGTCCAAAGTGTACAACTCACGGTGTAAGGATGCACAATGCCATAGAAACCAGTAACTCTCGCTTAAAAATAACAGAATACAAGAGACTATGTAAGATAGTCATCATACATCGGCATATCTGAAATCTAAACATAAACCATTTGTTCAAAAAGTCTTCTGCTTCAAATAAGATTATAGTTTTGCAACAGCAACATAACACATGTTTAGAGATAAATCACATTCATGGAGATATAAAGTTCTTCTCCCAGGTGAATTGCATCATACAAACTTTAAATCTGAACTTCTCCCTCCAGGGTTTGCATATTGACTTACAGTATAATCCTTTTGCACTCCAGATGTTGCTTGCTTGCTGTTTCAGCAACTTCTTCACTCAAATCTCTCTCAACGATCCTGAATTCTAGTTCCTCAAGTCTAGATTGCAGCTCAAGTTTAAGTCTTAAAATTTATTTCACCACAGCCTTAAGTCTAAGGTGAAGATCAGAACAAATTGATGCAGAAGATTCAGATTTAGTGGCTTGAAGTTGATTATGATTTTCAGTATCTGTTCCCATTGTAAGTTTTGTTCATATTCTCCTATTAGCATCATCTTTTAAGGGTTTATTTTGAGTTATGCTTAGGGGTTTGCTTCCAGTGGCATGAAAAGAGGTCCGAGAAACAGCACCTGAGACTGCTTCTTTAGCAACTTTAGCATGCTGCTTTACCATGTCTTATTTGGCCCTAATATTTTGAAGAGAAGAAGCATATCTTTTCTGTTAGAATATTATCTCTAATCTGTGATGGTATTCGCATCACCCATCACAGATTTGTATCCAAAAGAAACATATTTAGTGCCATTTTCCGGTTGTGCCACTGAATCTTTTGACACTTAAAATTAAAAATCAGAAAATAGGATAGAAACTCAGAAGTACGGACACGGCAAAATGGCCGACGTGTCCGTGTCGGATACGGACACGGCAAATGGCCGGCGTGTCTATGTCGGATACGTATCCGACACGGACACGCGTTCAGTACGCGGGAACGGCGCGTCCCTTTTCCCAGTTTCTGGCGGACGCGGGCAGACGCGGGTTGAGACGGGTTGACACGGGTCGGACGAAGGTCGGACGCGGGTAGACGCGAAACTCTGCGTTTTTCACTTCCTTTTACTCAGTCCCAGCTCCAGAAATCTGTTGCCCTATCTTTTCAGCTCCAATCGACAGCTGTTTTACTCAGACCGCTGTTTTCCACTGTAGCTTCACGGTTCACTCTGCGTCGCTGCCTCACCCGCTCACTGTCTGCTCTGCCTCAGTCTTCGTATTCGACCGTCTGCTCTGGCTCAACGTCTTCGACCGTCTGCTCTGCCTCACCATCGTTCTTCAGCTTCATTGGTAATTTATTCAGTTCATGTGGTCGGTCGACGGTCATTTTTCAGCTTCATTTTCAGTTCCTCTTGTGCTGCTGAGTGCTGATGGATATTTTATTATTATTATTATTGCATTGCATTACTGATTGAATTACTGATTTGAACGAGAGAGCTGATTGAATTACTGCTGAACCGAGAGAGCTGTCCAGAGCCTTGAATTATTGATTTAATTTTTTTTATTTAGATGGATTATTTTGTTGAGTTAAACATTGATTTATTTTAAATTTTTATTAGCTCTCTTCTTGTTAAAATTGCAGGATATTATTTAAAATTAAACCTGTAATGACTTCTAATTCTAGACTCGGTAGTAGTTCAGAAAGTGTGAATTCTCAATTTCAATATAATAATGAAAGACAGAAAGAGAGTACTCCTTTATAGGCTTATGTAACTTTGGTTCCTCAAGAAAATGAAGGGGATGGTGGAAATAGAAGTTGGAAGTGTAACTATTGTAATAACCAATATAATGGCTCTTATTCTAGAGTTAAATTTCATTTGTTGAGGATCTCTGGAAAGGGTATTGCTATATGCCCGAAAGTTGATGATAGTTGCTTAGGTGAAATGCGAAAAGCTCAAGAGGAGGCTGAGAATAGAACAAAACCAAGACATGTGCCATTGCCAACTCCAACTGAGAGCTTGTCTCCTTTATGTCAAAGGGGTTCTGCCCCTATTCAAAGTGAACACAATCAGGGAAAAAGGAGGGCAATAAATACGATAGAAAGAGCTTTCCAACAAGGAGCTAGAGATAATTTAACTGCTGAAATTGCTAGAATGTTCTATTCGGCTGGCTTGTCTTTCAATTTGGCACGTAACCCATATTTTATTAGTATATTTCAATATGCTACCAACAATATAATTCTTGGTTTTAAACCTCCTGGTTATAATGCACTAAGGTCTACTTTGTTGCAAAAAGAAAGGGCCAATGTTGAAAAGCAACTTGAATCAATCAAAGGGACTTGGAATCATAAGGGGGTAAGTATAGTTACGGATGGTTAGACAGATGTATACAGAAGGCCATTAATTAATTTTATGGCTGTCAGTGATGGAAGCCCCATGTTTTTGAAGGCAATTGATGCAACTAGTGAGTATAAAGACAGATTTTACATGGCTGATTTGATAAAAAAAGTGGTTGAAGAAGTGGGGCCTCGTAAAGTTGTTCAAGTAATTACTGATAATGCACCTGTTTGTAAATCTGCTGGTAAGATGGTGGAAGATGAATATCCTCACATCTTTTGGACACCATGTGTGGTGCATACACTTAATCTTTCCTTGAAGAATATATGTGCAGCAAAAAATACAGAGGCAAATGAAATTGTTTATGGAGAATGTCGTTGGATCACTGAGGTGAGAGATGATGCAGTCTTTATCCGAACATTTATCATGAATCATTCTATGAAATTGGCCATGTTTAATGAATTCGTGCCATTAAAATTGCTTGCAATAGCTGAAACAAGATTTGCATCAACAATTGTGATGTTGAAGAGATTCAGACTTATCAAAACTTCTCTTCGTACACTGGTTATTAGTGAAGAATGAAATGCTTATAGAGATGATGATGTTGGAAAGGTTGCTACTGTGAAGGACATAATTCTTAATGATCTTTGGTGGGAGAAGGTTGATTATATTCTCTCTTTCACTAAGCCAATTTATGATATGTTGAGATTTGCTGACACAGATAGACCCACACTTCATTTGATTTATGAGATGTGGGATTCAATGATAGAGCAAATTAAGGAATCAATTTATAAGCATGAAAGAAAATCACTTTCTGAGTACTCTTCATTTTATGAAGTTGTTTATAATATCATCATTGATCAATGGACAAAGAGTGCCACTCCACTATATTGTCTTGCCTACTCACTGAATCCTAGGTGTGTTATTCTTATTTTTTATCATGAAATTCTTTTCTTTATCATTTTTGCATCACAACTCCAATTAATGTTATTATATTATTGTAGGTATTATACAACACAATGGCTTGAAGGTGGACTAAATAGAGTCTCTCCACATAGAGATGCTAAAATATCAACTGAGAGGAAAAAGTGCATTAGAAGGATGTTTCCAGATGAAGAAGAGAGGAAATTGGTTATGAATGAATTTTCAAAATTTTCTGGATGTTCAGATGAGTTCTCTTTTGTTGAATCCATACAAGATAGATGTATATTAGAGCCTAAGGTTTGGTGGAGCAATCATGGTGCTGATGCTCCTAAACTTCAAGGGATTGCATTGAAACTTCTCAATCAACCATGCTCATCATCTTGTTGTGAAAGAAATTAGAGCACTTACTCTTTTGTTCATTCACTAAAGAGAAACAGGATACTTCCAAAAAGAGCAGAGAACTTAGTTTTTGTTCATTCAAATCTTCGTTTTCTTTCAAGAAAGAGTGAGAAGTATTCCATTGGAGAAAGTAGATTGTGGGATATTAGTGGAGATTGTTAGGAAATAGATGATGTTGAAAATCTTGAAGTTGCAAGTTTATCTCTAGATGAGCCAATTTTGGAGAGAGAACTTATAGAAGAAAGTGGTGATGTTAATGAAGATGAAGAAGTTTAGAATTACTTTAAGTTGATAATTATCTTTTGCCACTTGATAGTGTTTAAGCGCTTGACTATTTATTATATTATATTTTGTGATGACATTAGACATCTTGAAATTATGTTTTTAGACATCCAAATATTTAATATTTAATTATTTATATAGCCGTACCTGTATCCTAAAATTTTGAAAAATAGCCGTGTCCGCGTATCGTATCGTATCATACCCGACACTCATATCCATATCGGTGCTTCTTAGGATAGAAACAACCTGGTAAATCAGAAAGTGGGACTCATATTTACAACAATGGGCACTGCACGCTTGAGAATGGCAGTCACACTTGCTTTGTTATTGTTTTTTCCCTAAAACAGTGAATAACTGGATCCATTACATATCAAAGATGCAAAGTGATATGGTTTAATTGTTTTACGTAAACTGTAAAACATATAAAAATACAATTAAAATGAGATAGGAAAAAAAATTACTTAAAAACTGGGGTAAAGCTACAAACCCTAGTAAACCATTAGTAAAATCTAGTAGCATTGTTAATTAGACTGCATTAGAAGTGCACTTGCAGGACGCAAATGAGAGATGGGCAGCAAACTGGACTTGAATAGCAGAAGGAACTGGTAGTGGAAGCTACCTTACCTAATAAGCAAAGGACAAGGGAATAGTAAGCACAGCCAAGCAAATGACATGGCCGCATAAACCGTGTACGAGGACATTCCACATTAGTAATTCCCCCGAGTGGTGAGTGCCATGGAAAACCCTTATCGTTCAGCACCGGAGCCTCACCCAGCATAACCCCACGATTAGTTGCAGCACAGCCCTCATGACCAAACGTCAATAGCTGGCAATCTGAATCTACAGACAAAAAAGAAGAAGACAACACCAAATCATAAACTAATAAAGGCTAACAGTAACATCTCAGACTAAATCACTATAACAAATTAGGCACACGCCCATGGTAAGTAACTCAAAGGGTTAAATTCACCAGAACACATGAGAGACAAAAAATCAACACACTTGTTAAGAGGGAACCCATTAGCCGAAGATGACGTCGATGGATGACACCACTTGTCTCCTTGCCCAGAAGCAGAACCCTCACAATCATGATCTACAAGCAACAAATACAAGATCATAGAACAAACGTTAAGCCGAGCACAACAAACATAATAGTCAACAGATAATGAATACCGTCAACATTACAAACAATAGTGTCACCAACAGGGCAACCACGATGCCTCACCCGTTGCATTGTTTGGCTGGGGGGACCCTCCCCTCCCCTTGTCCCATTCAAACAAGGGGAGGGGAGTTAGGTGAAGGAGAGAAAAAATTTTTGAAACCTCTCCCCTAAATTGGAGGGAGCCCTCCTTTCCTCCCCTCTCCTCAAACCAAGTGAGAGAATTCTCATCAATTTGTTTGACCAGCAAAACACAGCAGCTAAGAAAAGGAAAAGAAACACAACTGAAACGACGTTGAAAAACAAAATCAAAACAGAAAAAAATGCCGTGGAGAATCACCCTCCTCAACCAAGCCTAGTCAAACCCCCCTAAGATCAATGGCAAGAACAATAAAAGGAGCATAAATGAAGATGACAAAACAACTACCAAGGAAAACGATGACAAAACTCCTTCTGACGATATTCCGCACACTGCAAAACCACACCGGGCAACAATATTTCAAACCGAGCAACCAGGACTTTGAAACTTCACCTCTGGTGGCGTGAACTGAACACGAAGATGACCATAAACTCGAAATTGGCAAAACCCAGCCAAAACCCACCTCCTCCAACTGTACAGAATTGGATTGATTTTTGTCATTTATTGAAACACTGTTCATGTACTGTAGCCAGCCCACTTTAATAAAGGTATTAGATAGATTCTATTCCTGCAATGGCTGGCATCCTTGGATGTTACTGGATACTATTTGATCTATTTTTACTCTCTCTCTCTCTCTCTCAGAGTACCCTGTTGAGCCTTTTCTTTAATACATTCCTTACGGGGTGTTTCTGACTGCTTTAAGGCATCCAAAAACCAGACTGGGAGAAAGAGAAAGCAGCCTGTATCTTCTTCTGGTCCTGTCATTAGCTCTGGTCCTGCGATCGCCTCTTGCTTCTCCTTGCTCGTCTCTCCCTCACCGTCTCGCATCATCCGTGTCTCGCATCTCGTCTCTCCGACGGACCAGATTCTGCTCTCCTTCTCGCCTCTCGCATGTGTAAAAGCTGATTCTGCTCCCTCAAAGTGAAAAAAAAAAAAAGATCTCTTTCAGGACTCACGGGATAGGCTGAGGCGATAAAGCAATCTTGCTGGAACAAACCAGGGAGAGAAATCCGAGAGGCTTGGAGTTAGCTTCGAGCGTAAAATTTCATGGGTTCTGACATATTTATTCTGATTCTCCTTTATATTTCGTTTGTAGCTGAAATACGAAGGGCAAGCAAGTTGGTCCAAGTTGGGAATTGGACTTATGGTCTTTCGAAGATTTTGGTTTTTGCGTTCACACGAAGTCGCTATATCGTCCCTTCTCAGTCATTGTATTTTGAATTGTTTATGAGAGGGACCGGTTTAACAGTGATATCTCAATAGTACTATTATCATTTTAAGTTCAGTTGGTATTTTTGAGGTGTGGTGGATTTTGATCTTAAAATTAATTGTGTGGGTACAGAAACTTAATTCTTAATGTTGTCTTGCTTAAAATTCCAAGCTTGCTTTTCAATTGCTTTCACCTTCTTTCAATTAGATCCGTAGTGTGATTTTGTGCAAATTGAAGGTGATTATTGATGCCTCCTGTCCTCTGTTTCATCGGATGTAAGCTTGCCTTTTTGAGTAAGCTTTGTTCCAAGATGCTGAGCAAATAATTGTTTTCTTATAGTTCTTCATATAATCTAATATTTGGTTTTTAATTGTTTTCTTATAGCTCTTCATATAATGTTTTTAGTTGTCTCTCTGACTCAGCTTATTTTTTATTTTGATTATGTGGTTTATATTGGTTGAATAAATATGTTGGATTTTTTTTTTTTTCCCCTGAGCCCTATTGGTAAGGCCGGGTCTCATAATTAAATTAAATTTTAGGTAATCAAGACTTAAAGGTTGGTCTTGTCTGCCCATCTCTACTTACATCACCTTCAAACCAATTGGTAAGTGGAATATTTTTGAACATTTACATTGACGGAAGGAATAATGAATTCCTTGCATGAAGACTCATGGCCATTCTGTTTTGGCAGTGGGATCATAAGGATCTTGAATTGCAGGCATGGACCGATTTGTTGACGATGGATCTCTTGCTGAATTCAATTCTGTACGAGCTAGTACAAGCAAAGTTATCTGTTGCGACTTCTCATCTGACAGGAAATTGCTCGCAAGTGGAGGCCATGACAGAAAGGTTAGTTGATTAGTCTGGAGGTATATTTGATATATTACTTCACGTGGTCAACTGAATCATTGATAGTGTCTGCAGCTTTATGTCTTTGACTTGAGAAACAAGAAAAAGATTGATTTCTGTATCATTTGTTATATATATAGAATGTTTGACCTTTTTCTCTTTATGGTTTTGCATTGCAGGCTGTCTTGTGGTTCACAGATTCTCTAACGGCAAAAGCTACTCTTGAAGGACACTCATCTATGATAACTAATGTCCGTTTTAGTCCAAGCATGCCTCGCCTTGCAACATCTTCATTTGACAAAACCGTCAGGGTTTGGGATGTTGACAATGTTAGTCGATTCATTTCCTCGTTTACTCTGTTAGTATACTCTTTTTGAGAAGTACGCTCTGTGGGTTCTAATTCTATTTTGGATTGGTCACATCAAAGGATATAGTTCATGCTGTCTTTGAAGTGTGTGACACACTCACTGAGAAGTTACGAAGAAGTATGGATGTTCCTCTTTCACTGAAAATTTGTACATGAGATAATAAAATTGAGTTGTGTGATTGTTCCATGGGATTTTAGTTACAGTGAGAAAAAGAAGTTTAGTGTCTTAAATAAATCTATCCGTTAGCAGCCTAAGCTTGAAATATGCCGTACCTCAAGATATATATCATCTTATAATAGTGTTCCCCGGAAGAGGAGTTTCCAGATTCAGTTTTACCATTCTACAGTATAATGCTATGATAGTTTACAATGAAGTTGGTTCTTCAAGACTGTTGATGCAGGGTTTCTGATCCTCAAAAATTAAATTTCAGTTCCTCGGTAGTTAACAGGGAGGCAGGGATCATGTGCTTTGCATGCTTTACTGTTTTTCACCCAAGCTTTGTCAGGAAGCTAGTCTTTATTCTTTCATGATAGGCATGATAGGAGTGATTAATCGGGTGTAGCCTTAGAAGTTCGCAAGCTTAGGAATTTCTGTTGATTGTAAGTTGGTAGGTGAAAGGAGAATTGAAGGTAGAAAGAATAGGAAGGAGAGAGAGGGAGAATCGGAATTCAGAATTCATCAACTGGCATAACAGTTTCTTCAATCTGTAATAGTGTAATACAACTATACAAGGACTAGTTATTAGAACTTCTTAATAACTTCTTTCACACTTATTCTGTCATTAATGACTCTTAACAGCTAAAACCACTTTCTTCTATTCAACCATTCGAACAGTTTTGCTGAATGATTTTGAATCATTTGTTGATTGGGCATTGTGTCCGACATGGATTTATATCGCAACATAAACTTCATTGTCATTGAATAAAATAACTCATGTAACAGATCGTATGTTCTTCGCTCAATTTTCTGATTGCTAGCACGATAGTTTTTATGGGGGTTAATGTTATATAATTGTAATATTGAAATATTAGTTTCTGTTATTGTTAGTTAGTTAGTTAGTTAGTTACTGTTAGTCATGATTAAATAATATAGCCGTTAGGATAGTTTGGGGATTAGAAGCCTATAAATACTGTGAGACACATTTGTATCCTATGCTAGTCTAATGATAATGATTGCACTATTCAGTCCTTATCTGTTTTTCTCTATTCTCTCTCTGAATTCTCTCTACCTTCTGTTCTTCTCTCTCTTTCCCTCTCTTTCTCTCTTTGTATCTGTCAGAATTACAGAGATCCAACAGTTAATTTACACATCTACACTGCTTGTAGAAAGGCTTTCCTCATTTTGAATGTCAGCTGTACCTGTGAGCTAGCACACCAATAATTGTGTGCTAGCATAGTTTGCTTGCTAAGTCTGGATTTTATTGGATTGTTATTCTACTTGCTGTTTTGCTTGAGCTTATTAGATATTTTACCCATGCAGTCTGGATATACGCTTCACACATTCACAGGACATTATACGTCTGTTATGTCTCTAGATTTTCATCCAAATAAAGATGATCTTATCTGCTCTCGTGATGCTGATGGTGAAATACGATATTGGAGCATGAATAATGGCAAGCTGTGCTTGAGTCTTTAAGGTAGAATCTTAGTTTCCTTTGCATTTTATAACATATCTTTTTTATTTTGAGTGCATTTGAGTGATTGTACATTCATTTTAGTTTGCCAATCTTGGGAACCAATTCATCCCACAAGCTTAAGCTGTTTGGAGAAGGCCTGTGGTTATTTCACTGATATTTCTAAGACTAAAAGCTCAAGTAATTAGTGAAGGGCCCATGATTGATATTTTTTTCTTTTTGTGAAAATGATTGGTTTTATTAGTATCACTGTCTGCCATACTTACAATTTTTTGTGCTGATTAGGGTGGTACTGCCCAGGTGAGGTTTCAACCTCGCCTAGGGAGATATCTTGCTGCAGCTGCGGAGAACGTTGTCTCTATACTGGATGTGGAAACACAGACATGCCAATATTCATTACAGGTTGGTTTACACCATAGTACGTTTGGGTATAAACTAAAATTTTTGTGATCCTTCCAAAGTCGTTTTTTAATGTGTTTTGTTTTGTTTTTGGCTAACGAGTTAAGATTGATGATTGGCCTGGCTTAATATTTCATTATATTCTAGATAGTAATTTCTCGAGTGTGAAAACTACAGTTTGCAGAGCTATAGCTCAGTTGACCTGAGCCTGGCAAAAATTTATTCTCATTGCAAATGATCTATAGTAATGCTCTAGTAATGGTTAAATTTCATTTAGCAAACAGCCTATTTGAGTATGTTTTACAAACTGTGCCAAGAGGATTTTTTAAACGCCCTTTGGTTGTGGCATTATGATTATAGGGACATACAAAGCAAATACATTCTGTTTGCTGGGACCCTTCTGGAGAGCGGCTTGCATCTGTCAGTGAGGACTCTGTCAGGGTTTGGACTCTTGGATCAGGAGAGTGAAGGGGAATGTGTCCATGTGCTAAGATCTAGTGGGAATAAATTTCATTCTTTTGTTTTCCATCCAACATGTCCTTCATTGCTGGTCGTTGGATGTTACCAGGCAAATCAACCATACCCTTTCTGTGTCCTTTTTTTTTTTTTTTTAAATTTTAACCCTTGTCCATGAATTTGGCTAATTGTGTTTGTCTTTACTTATTAGCTAACAGTTTCTTGAATCTTATTTTTTTTAACCCTCGTTCATGAATTTGGCTAATTGTGTTTGTCTTTACTTATTAGCTAACAGTTTCTTGAATCTTATATGCACATATCTTTCTTTATTCTTTTTTTTTAAAAAAAAAAATCGTACCTAGAAGGAGAAAATTTATCAAGTTTTAACTGCTAGTTTAACCCAAAAATATTTAGTCCTCCTTGGAGAATGATGGACTGCTGGTTATTGTTTATGAAGAAGATGGAGTTCAGAGTAATTGAAACTTTGAAGTCATATTATCTTGAAATGCAGAAAGCAAAAGTATAAATATGAAGATGCCTGCCACGCCCCCCCCCCCCTTTCAAATAATAATAATAAATGGGAAGGACTATGAGTCATAGCCACTCTTCTAATCCTCTTTATAAAAGCAAAACTTTCAAACTTAAATAAACCTATCTTATCTAATCCTGTCTGGGATGCAAC